AAAAAAAAAAAGTAGATAAGCACAAAAGAGAAATACTTTAATGGATGCTCCGAGCCCAAAGCCATTACTCAATTTTCTAAAGTTATCATTTTCAGTGACATCTCTTTTAACAGCTTATCTTCCTCTGTAGCTTCTGAGCTATTTCAAATCATTTCCATGTCTACTTGAAACTAGGCATGTTTTCTCTAATAAATTGCAAGAATTTAATCTTTCATCTCTTTAAAAAACATTTATTTAGGATCTTCAATACACCATACACTAGAGACTCAATGATTTAGCAATGAGTAAATCAATGGTCCAAACCTAAATGAGGAAAACAGAAAAAAAAAAACTACACACACACAGCCTCAAGGAGTGATAGTATTCTGGGGAAGGAAAAGCAGGATAATTGTGCCAAGTGACTTGTACTAGGGAGAAGGACTGTAGGCTATGTTAACAAGTAACACTGAAGCACTGTTAATGAATTAGCCACTATAGTATGCCAAATCCTACAATAAAATACAATGTAACCTAAAAAAAAAATCTTAATCCACCAATTTTAAGAAACACAAAAACACTTATCTTTAGTATGCTTAGTGAAAATGTTACCTTATGATGTGACTTATCTTTTAAAAAAATATTTCTTTAAAATTTATCTATCTCATTACATTTGTGATATATTTTTTTTTCTGTCCATAAATGATCATCATTATCTGGACATGGCTGCTCACAAGAAGTCATTTTCATAAAACACTAGTCATTCTCTAGGCAAAAATCTCTAACATGCAATGTTCTCCCAACCAACTCACTATTTTAACATTCTAACAGCATTTCTTTTCAAATGAAAATTAAAACTATTGTAATATTATGTGATAGCCTTCCTATATTAATCCTTTAGCAAAGCAACACCTTTAATATTGGAAGAAAATAGAGGTTCACATTTTTAATTCAACTCTGTATCAAATATAGTACATGGAAAAAGACTATCTGTAGACATAAAACAGAAAAATTATTTCTTTTTCCTTACTCATGGACAAGATGGTGAGGATATATCTATCACTTCAGAACATTCCAGCTTTTACTAAAAGTTATTT